GAACAAGTAGACCTTCCCAGAAAGCAGAAGTCACATTCATGCACCAGCCATCCAGTAGGAGACACCAAGTCGCACGAGTATGGAAGAATTTGAAACGCGATGGGACTGCATGTGCAAGTCCTCTTTATGAGTTGAATGCGTACCATCCCAGACACTCCATGGGACTGGAATAATTACACACATAGACCCCATGAACATGACCCATGGATGGTCTGTATACCATGTTCTCCAACTGGCCACTTTTGCCGCGAAAAAATCGTTCCATTCTGGGGAATTTAACAAAAGAACCTTCAAAGGCCTGAAGGCTAGTGTTTATACAGCACGTGCATATGAATTAAAGGAAAATCGAACAGATTGATCCATTCGTACCGCCAGCCGTTCTTGGCATTCAGATCGATCCACTCGGAATATCACAGAATCTCAGAGTCTATATATATATATATATTGCTTTAAAAAAGGTCAGTCATCGGGACCGGTTGATCAATCTTGTGTGTGCGTTTCTTTTTTCTTCATTTTGTTAGAGTCACTACGCTGAAGAGAATGACTGCACGGCTGACACGGTGAGAACGCATTCCACCTTTGGAGGTCAACCAAGAGGCGGTTTGAACACAGGATCACTAGCTACAGCTGGATGCAGGATGCCATCACTTGCTTTGCAGCCGATGCGCACTTCCTCTTCTCGGGTCACCTGTCTGCAGAGGCAACAGGTCGACGGCCTGATGGCCTGACGTGGTATGTGAGTGTTGTCTTCCGTGGGAAGATTCACCTTTCCTACATGAATCATCCTTTGTAAGGGTTTTTTTCTGTGCGTTGGCTCCCTTGGGAAAGGTCTATACCGCATACCCGGCGAGCTACACTCATTTGACTGCTGACACCTCCGTGGGCGGTGACAGTTGAGGCTCGGCGGATTGCACGATCCGGATCTGGGAGTGCTCCCGCAAGGCACAGTTGAAGGCGACGACGTTTGTGAAACGTTTGGGAGACAGGCCGCTCAAGATGTATGTGGAGGGCGCCGCGTGTGTTGATTCGGCCCTTAATAATTAGTATTATATATGTGAAATCAATGATGACATGATTTCTCGTGCCACGAAACGGGCGACTTGACATCTTCCAGAGCTTTGGAGGATCCTCCCTATTCTGAGACCCTCAGCTTTTTGGACTTGGCAAGTATCGGATCCTCCTCCCCGCTCGCTGCCTGGCTCAACAGCTGAGAACTGGACACCCGGAAGCAAGCGCTACCGTGGTGCAGTCTCCAAGGGTTCATGGTTTGCGGTCTCCAGCAACAGACTCATGGCTCATAGGGTCTCCAAGGGTTCATGTTGGCCTCCAACCATATATCTATAGCCACCATTTGATGCTTTCAGGCTAATATATCACACGCATGCAAGCTTCACTTTCACAGATTGGAAGGCTTTTTCAAACCTGCTTCCGTTCTGAGCGGCAATGGATTGCAAAGATCCGAACTGTCGCTGCGGCTTTTCCTACAACGACACTGGTCGATGGTTAGAAGTGGGAGATCCAGGTCTTGGCTTCGCTGCGGTGGAGCATGAACCTGGGTGGGACTTTTTTGATCTGCAAGGCCCCAGCCACCTTGACGTGCTTCACGTGCGCCGTTCCTTTCCCATCCGCCTGGTGCGCCTTTATCGTCATTGGCCCAGTAGCGAAGTGTTACAAACGGCTTTGCATCCAGGGGGAGTGCAGCAGTTGCAGCTCAAAGTTCCGGAAAAGGCCAAACGACTTGCCCGCTGGATCATTGCTGTTTGCCCCTCCACCTTGGCCTTTCGCGGAACAAAGCGAGTCCCGCCCAGTATGCCACTGTCCGCAGCAGCTGCAGCTGTGGCTGCTGCTGTGTCCGAAGTAGAAGCCAACGACTTGGAAAGACGAGCCAAAGGAGCTGCGAGTGGCTCGTTGTCTGGATACTTGCGACAGAGCACTTCACCCTGCTCTTCCACGGCCTCTGGGGCTCCCACTTCCACTGCTGCAAGCACTCCTCGTTTGGGTGCCGTTGCGATTTTAACCCAGCTCTATGAGGAGCAGGTGTTGACAGCATTGAGAGCTGGCGAAAACAGTGGTGATGATGCTTTGGACGAAGCCATTGGGATTCGAGCTAGAATGCAGGAGATTGCTGCCTTGAAAGAAGACCTGGCACTCGAACGAGCTGCCAAAGACGTGGCGCAGGCTTCCGCTCGACAAGCGTCCCTGGAACTGGCGGAGCTGCGGGAGCAGTGCAGCGAGCTACAGCGCTTACTTCGGACCGCCGAACGCGACAAGATCGCCTCAGAGATGCAGCTGCGGCAGCTGAGCGCCGATCTCCAACATGCAAAGACCTTTGCATGGAGTGATGACGGTGAACGAAAGCCCCGAAACCTGGAGGAGGTTGTTTCCAGTGTTGTTGCCTTGGAAATCAAAGAGCTCCAAGGTGCAAGCAGCCCGGAAGAACGGGCTGTGGCAAAGCGCAAGCTTCTGCTTAGATGGCATCCAGACAAAAACTCCGGCAATGGAGCTGCCAATGATTTAGCCAAACGAATTATGCAAGAATTACAAATTCATGCAGACTGGGGCAGCCCTGGGTGATCGTATTTATCTCACATCACCTGTTGGGCTGTCCTCTTCCAGGGGTGCTGAACATGGGCACCCCTGCACCGTTCTGCACCGCTCTGATGCACTCTCCCCGATTCGGAAGACCCGGATCGAACGGTGCGCTCCGAAGCCAAAACTCCGGAGCTCTCGCGCGGACACCGAGTGGTCGGCGCAGATGTCAGTCAGCAGATGTTTGGCTCCTCGTGAGGTGGTGCGCTTGCATGAGGTCACGGTGCAGGCGAGGGAATCGTGTGTTCGGGTGAGAAGGGTGAGAAGACGAATGGGGATCCAGAAACTCGAATCATTTTCGAAATGGATGGCACAGAGTGACTATAGGTGACAGGCTCGTATATATTCTCAAAGGCTGGGAGGTCGCGGCCTGAAGTTTGGCATCCATTCGTCGTGCTTCTCGAATCGCCGGGGTTCAGTCCCCGTCTCAGTTTGGCCTTTCGGTTCGCGAAGTTCACCTGCTTAAGGAAAAGAAGCTTCTGGCCTTACTAGTAGCAAATAGCTACTAGTAGCTTCTTGCTCCTGTAGTAGTAAGGCCAGGAGCCCCTAGTAGCATGCTTGCTCCTAGTAGCGATGCCCTTTGCTCCTAGTAGCGTCTCAAAGGCTGAAAAAGAATCCAAGCCACGCTGTTGATCAAGGACTGCCGATTTTCTCGTTTACGCCTTTTACTTCACATGTGCACGTTAGCCGCGTGCCTCCTCCAGGCGTTACTGCTGCTGCCCGACTCGGGCGCCCTGGTGTCGCCTTCGGCTCAGTGAAACTGAACTGTGCGGCGTTGCGGAGCAAAGCCCACGTGGTGTGGGTCATTCTCTTTGACCCCTTCGGTGGCGCCAGTTGAAGTGATGGCCCACTGAGGTGTGCCGGTGGCAAAGTGTCCATTTGGCAAACAGGCGAAGAGGAGGCGCCCTGAGTGAGGACCGTATGTGAGGGTGCACAAGAATATGATGCCTTCACTGGTGGGTGACAGTAAATGCAAGCCTTTTTTTGAGCCTTTTGAATGGGGATCCACACTGCCGTTTCAGGAGTTTCTTCCCTCAGCCATCCGAAATCGCTGTAGGTAAACTGGGCGATGCACCGATCCCTTTTTCTGATCATGGTGGCAGTGTGGTGTGGTAAAGGAGAAATGCATGAGGAATTCCTGTTCGCGGATCGAGCTGTTTTGGGTCAGAAGCAGGAGCATTTTCCATGTTGGGCCCAAATCGAGCCTCTTCCTCCCACTAAGCCTTTCAAAGTGTGAATACACAAAGTAGATCTCGTGATTTCTTTTCAGACATTGAACACATCTCCTTCAACACGTCCACGGCATTTTTGCTTTTCAAGTCAGAAGCCCCCCCTGATAGTCAGCACAGATGCAACAACATTCCTGTCGACGTGTTTCTTTCTCTTCCCATCTGCCCGAATCTGCCCTGGGCGAAAAAGACAGATTTCTCTTTTTGTTCGGCCAACAAACCATCCACCTGGCATGGGCGGATGGCCACCACCAGGTCTCAGTGCTCCGGAGCTATGAGCAGCCGGAAGAGTTCCGGACGCTCCACGTGTTGGGGGTGCCCAGCGGAGACCAGCGAGAATCCATTGGACGCAGCAGAAACTGGATTGCTTTTGAATCTTCAAACACATCACTGAAATTTGACTACATTTTGTTGATAATTTCGTGTTTGTTTTTAATTCTTTCTGAAAGCATGAAGACACGCGGAACAGAACATTCATCCTTAGTCCCATTCAAGAAACGCACACATTTCAGGGGCCAAAAAACACAGATCCGCTTTCCGAGGCAAGCGGCCAGTCTTTTGGTGGGCTGTGAGCCGGCAACCCAGCGAAGCCCAGTGAAGTTCTGCACGCGACGGATCAAGTTCCCAGAAAAACCACTAAAGGAGATGGGGCAAAATTGTTGAATGCCTTCAATTCATAGTACCAAAGACTGGAGTGAGCCAAAGCATCACATAAAGATGGGGAAACATGACACCGAAGGCACTCGGGTGCCACTGAGTGCTTCTCTAAGGCCCACATTTCTCCAGTTCTTAAGAATCCCATGAGGCTTCTGCCGGTGGACCGACCGATGACTGAAGCATTGGAGCGACCCACGCGGAGGTGGGTCCGCCGGAAGAAGCAGCCTCTGAGGTCTGGGAAGATCATCTCCTTTCCACTTCCAGAGGAGCTGGGCATGACGACTGAAGAGGTTGCTTGCGGAGAGTAGCTCGTGGTTGTCCTGATGACCTCTGAAAAGAGGTTTTCTCAGAAAAAATATTGCAAGGATGCTATTGTGGAGAATGTCTTCTTTCGAAAGATAGCTTGATGTCGATTGGTTCGCTGCATGAACTGTTGGGTGACTCACCCGTTTTTTTTTGCAGGTGCCAAGTGGTTTGCGCACTCCGCAGACGCCGCGTGGTCCTGAGTGATGCAATCAGAAGAAAGTGGATCCACCTCCCAAACTGATCAAGACTCGGGTGGTGGAGAAAGTTTCCACAGCTTTAGCAGCTGGCTGGGCTCCAAGAGTTGTTCCACAGACTCCTGCAAACCATGGATTGCCAACCATGCATTGCTCGATCATTCGTGGAAGTAGGCTCAAACTGGATCCTGAAACCACTGGATCCTCAAATGGCAATGGTGCTTGCAGTGACTCGGTCGAAGGGCAGGGGTCGGCCCTGTTGTTTTTTGAGGATAGCAGAACAAAGACGCGCAAAACTTTGATCATCAGAAGAATAGACGATCAATATGTGGAAGTAAATATATAGGGTGGTTAAGGCTTTGAAGCGTGGCTGTGCTAAAATGTCAAGGTGATCAGACAGGAACAAGCAAACCATTCCGAAATAGCATGTGTACATACCATTTCTGCTTTTCAGAGAGAATGGTGCTAGAACCCCCTTGTAGTTCTCACAGTTCTCACATCTTGCTGTGCAGTTGGTCCTGGTGCAGTTCCTCCTCTGGGCTTCAGGAGAGGGTAGGATACCTGGACAAAACAAGAAACGACATGACCGCAGATCTTTTTTTTTGGGCTTGGGCTTGCGAAACCTCCAGAACTTGCGGGCGAAGCGTCTCTTTTTCGCTGACTTTACTCCATCAGTGCTATCTTAATTAAGTGGTGGGCAGATGTGGGCAGCAGGTCAACACCAGCAAGTCACTTCGCTGTGCGGGTTATCTTCTGGTGGGACTGTTGAGCTAGTAGTATCGACCAGTTAAAGTAGCATCTGGGAGGTGAAACACCAGGCTGAGCATAAGGGGTTCTAGCCCCTGAGCTATTCAGAACCACCTGCCATGTTAGCTAGATCGAACCGTGTTTCGGTCGCTCCGAGGTCCGAGGTCCGTTTCGTGCTCCCAGGACGCGGTGAGGACCTTCAGAACAGCGTGAGCTGTTCGGAGGCGAGAGGTGTTGAGGTGTTGGGGAGTGTGTTGGGGATATTTGGGGATCAGGTCTTCAGGATGCAGCAATGAGGTGCTTGGGTTTGAGCATGTTTTGAGCTGTTCCAGACGTTCCAGATCATGGTTTGAGGCCTTTTCAAGCTCAGAATGATGAGATTTCAATCTCAAGCGGAGTTGGGTTGGACACCTGAATTCCGTCTTTCGCCAGAGAGCGAGAGCTATTGGGGGGTTCTTACTTCAAGTATAGGAAGATGTGCCCGTGTGCGCTTTGGAGCCTGCGTGCTAGTGCAGCTTACAGGGTGCCGCTGCCTGATGTTATGGCCGTGTGTACTTTGGAGCTTGCGTGTCGGTGCCGCTATGCTGGCATAGCTTGTTCATGGTTGTTCCATCTTCGCATTAAACGTCTCAAGAGGAAATGCCTCAACGACACGAACGTCCAACGGGCGTTTGACCGACATGATCCGGATGTGGCTCAGTTCGACGGGTTCGTCGTTCGATCGCGAGGCGGAGGATGAGGGTCTCGAGATGCGACAACTTCGCGTCGACCGGTCCCGGTCCCGGTACACGGCACCGACCGGTGGCGTTTTGTGGGGTCGGCGCCATGGGCGCGAGAAACATGGAGGTGGGAGAAAAAGAACACGACTTTCATCCACTCTCATTGCAGATATTGCAGTTTGAACATACTTGGCCTCAAACCAAGAACATATTTGCTTGCCTGCTGGTTGAGTTGCATTCCTTTGACACCTACTGGCAGCTCGAGTGTGTTGCAAGGTCATGTTTTTTTCATTCAACCTACATCAACCTACTGGCAGACGACGAACATGGACCTTTACTTACAGGTTTCCCCCATCTCCAAATCATCAACATGGAATGGGATAGTCGGAAGAATCAATCCCTTTTTGTTGTTCCACCGTGATTGTGGTACTTTGGAGGAAGCATCCGGAGACTGCATCCTGTTCGCCCCCCCCCAGGTTGCTGCGTTTTGGGCGGGTCAACCGTTGGGGGGGAGACGGGCCATCGCTTGAGCGGCTTTCATGTGGAATTGACCATAACTGACCCATTCCTTCTGGCCCCATCGTTGGCTTGATGAGGTGAAGCGAACATTCTCGCCCAGCACGTGCGGCGAGTGTGAACCAGAAACCACGGAACAACGATGCGCCATGTACATTGAAAAGGATAATGGTCTGACCCTGTTCAAAGGGCGAGAATGTTCAAAACTTTTGGTTTGACCAAAGCTCTTGCTTGCACCTTTTGGGATCCTTTTAAGTGGGAGACCCCCTCTGCCTTGCCAGAATCTCTCCATCAGCCAAGTAGGGTTTGCTAGCTGCAGGATACCCCCCTTCCAACAAACATTGAAGTGAACAGCTCGGAGCCTGGCCATCCACACCATGTTTGCAGAAGTACGACGCCGACCAAAACACTGACATCCCTTTCATCAATCTCAAACTAACATCCCACCTTGGTTTGAACAACCTCCAACTGGGACTTGGCCGTTGGAATCCCTTCGTACCTCCCGGGTTTTTGGAGTACAGAGGCGCCACACGACCCCGTTTGGTGACGAACTGGACGCTTCGGTACCTCGGCGGATGAAGCATTTGAGACGGAACGGAAGCCGTTTGAAGAGGAACGAGAAGCTACGAACGGGGCTCCTGGCCTCGCGCTACGAACGGGGCTCCTGGCCGTACTACTAGTAACAAGAAGCTATTAGAAACAAGAAATAAATAGAAAGAATTAAAATATAACTATGTTTAAATAAGAATGGTTTGGGTCATCGAATAGCTCAAGCCGCAAGGCATCGATCGGGGCAAAGAAACCCTTCATGAGCGGAGGAACCCTTCGGGGCGAGTCCACATCCATTCATGAGGTACACAGTTTCTCAGGTTACACAGTTCACCTGAGCCTCCTAACAAGGGTGAATTTGGTCCTACCAATCTGCGTTTGTTCCATGGTTTTCCTAGCCCTTTTGGACGAGAGCCGGTTTTGAACAATGACACCAACAACACAATGACTTTCACGCAACCAACAAGAACTCCCGCTCCTTATCGTTCCTAGCCTGATCCCACGTGGACTGAGCATCTCTGGGTGGAGAGACTTGTACTCGGAAAAAAGAACGCCATGGTTCCATGGAGAAAGGCCACATCGAGGTGCAAGCTTCCACTTCGTTCTGGATCAATTTTTCCAGTTTTGGAGGCCTAGTAGCTCCTGACATCGCTGCTAGGAACAAGGACGCTACTAGTAGCTCCTTTTTTTCCACTTCCCAACTTGCTCTGAACCGAATCTTGGTTGTATGAGGTTCACCAACACCACCACTGGTGCTCATTGCACAGTCTTGTGCCTCAAGAATTGGTACACTAGAACCCTCTGATTCTGTGCACAGGCAAATCAAAATTGGTTCTCAGGATGTTTCTTCTGCTTTAACACGGCGATGCCGATGCTATGGTTTCGACCACAGTTTGACAATAGTATCCATGTGTTTCTCCTGCAATTCATTTTTGCACGGTGACCTTGGCTGATGCTGAGCAGTCTTCAATCTGGAGTGCATCCAAACCTCCCATTGACAGGTGCTTGGGCCCTAATCTAAGACTTCACTCCTTTAGTCTACTTCACTCACTTAGGACTTCCTGATGCTTACTTCTATAGTGTGTGTCCTCACCAAGTCATTTCCCGCCTCTAGGCGCGCTGTTGCCTTTGCAGCTCGGGTTTGGTGACCTGGTCCACGGATGGATGCCGAGCCTGTCAGGACGAGGCGCTTTCGAGATCGAGCCAGCTCATTCCCGGTGATGGGGTCGTTTGGTTTGGTGATACAGTGCCCGAGAAAACGTTCTCCTATTTTGGGATTGAAGTCTGAAGTAGATGAGGACGTTGATGGGAGCATACTTTGAAGATACGTGAAGACAATTCTATAACCACAGGGAAGTCGGCAGAGGTTCTGTGTCTAGTTCACCGCTCGCGTCTTCCGTGCGCCTTCACTTGTTCGCGTTCTTTCCTTTTTTTGGCAGGTACAGAAGATTGCCAGCGTCAGCCCATTGTGCAAGACAGACAGTCCCAACTTCAAGGGGAGCTCAGCTTGTCAAAGCGAATGCCACACCCTGCTGATGGAGCCTGGAATTTTTGCCCAAGAAGAGGCTGACGAGCACGACGAGGTGTGGCAGCGGACACGAAACTGAAAGACATTGGTATCCGTATACAAACATGAAGTAAGCAGCCGAACAGCATGAAACACTTAGACTTAAAACCTATAAGAGCATGTGAAGTTTGAAACCTATCCTAAGTTGTTGTCCGCTGCAGCAAAGCCCTGAATTGCGTGAGGTTGCGCATGCACTTTAGTATGCATAAAGTCATGTATGGTGGGTGCAAGCTATGCTGGCTATGCTTGATACATGACATCATGTCATAATGTTTGTTTGCAGCATTGAATCCTTTCAAGAATGTTCAAGGCTGGTCATGCTACATTTTGGAGCAAGCTTCCTTTGTCGCCCACCAATGAACCGGCACGCAAACACTCGGCTCAAAGACAGTTTTCAATCAAGCCCATACCAGGAAGATATAGATATAGGGTCTAATTGATGTAAGGGTTTTGCACCAAACTTGAAAACTTGATCGTGCAAGTTCACTGTGTCTTGCGCTGCGCAGGGACCTCCGTTATGGGTTTTCGGTCTGTCTGTGGAAACTCTGAGAGCCTGGATGCGAAATACCGAATAACTAATCAGGAATGGCATGGGCAAAATTAAGCTATTCCGTGCGACCCTGATTTCCAAACCAGGGTTTTGAAAGATGCTCAGGTGGTTGCAGATGAAGGTGACGACGAAGTTCTGGAGATGCCCCATGAATGGGGATTCGGCGGTACAACCGAAAATGCAAGAGCGGCAGCGTAGCTTGGTCGGCAAGCGGGGCCGCTGTTCTCCTTGCCGAGGCTATGTTGAGAAGACAACCAGTGTGTCTGAAGAGTGCAAAAAGACAAGTCCGAAATTCATGGGCAACAAGTATTGTGCCAAAGCGTGCCGATCAAATTTTCAAAGTAGCTGGTCTTGGGTTCAGGCGAACGCGAAGATCTTCTGAAGAGGGGCGCTTGTTGATGCGCAGAGAAACCCCGCTGGTGACTTGTCCAAGCTTCACCGTTCAGAAGCAACGGTGCAGTTGATCTCTTTCAGACCAAAAAGGATGTCCGAGGCCTTGCGGTCTTCGCCACACCGGTGGCACAAACGGACTCCCGGGACACAGCACGTCCGAGGTCAAGAGGACACGTCCGGAGGTCCAATGAGTTTCGATGTTGTCCGCCATACACGGCCAATGTAGGCTTAAATTTTGGTGCAGAAGCCATTGCCCAGTCGTCTTAGGCCATCAGCCGAAGAGGGCGAGCCACAGCCGGGCGCCTTAGAGACGAGACTAGGCGACGTTCAGTGTTCCACTGTGGGCAAATTGCAGGCGTTGGGCAGAGTTTCTAGTCGAAAGAGATTCCTTTTTTAGAGATGGACACGTCGCACCTTGCTATGGCAGATTTCAGATCCCAACTCGGGAGGCGATGACGATCGAAACCTGAGATCGGCGCGCGAAAAGGGTGCGCGGCTTTTGATCCACCTCAGCTCGGACCGTGCTGCAGCTGCAGCTCGGTGACCATCGCTCGTTCTGCAGGCGCTGAATCCTTGAGCACATTTTGTTGCACCATACTTCTTGGAACACGTAATAGCAACGAACATATGGTGTTCCTTGAGACCTCATGAGGGCTTGAGCACTGAACACTTGCGCGACAATGATATGATTTGGCCGTGAATAGAATCTGGAGCCCCATCATTAGGATGCACCGGGGTGGCATGGGTGCCTTCACCAAGAGCTTTAGGCAGCATAGGAGGCAGGCAGAAGGGGTTGATCAGAAGGCTGCACAGTTTGGGGCTCTGGTTTTGCTGTAAATTCACAACCAAAGGCGCTGGCAACTTTATATAAATTTAGAAGTTCACTATATATTTCTCCTCATTTGTCTATTTGACATGAGAAACCACGTAGACGTGATTGAGGCATGACCAAAGGACTACCATGTGTGAGAGTGAGAGTCTGTTGCCGGAAAGGTATCACCATGGTCGGTTTCAAATCTCTATTCGTCGGTTTCAATAGACTTTCGCAACCTGATTCATCGCGGACAAAGGAGGTTTAGGCCAACAAAGAATCAAAAGTGGCTAAGCAGTTGAGCACCTTGGGATAACCATATGAGTGTATATACGATGCGGGGGTGGTCAATCCCATGGCAGGGCTTTTGTGTTTTTCCTGTGCGGCTTTCTGTGGCACTGCCATGCCTCGCAGGCCGTGGCTCAAAACGGTGGGATCTTTTTCCCGTAGGTCGGCCAGGCGGCGAGTGCCACTGTCGGGAGCCTCTGAAATCAGTGGCCTTCTCTTCAAAGCCACTGGAAAACGCAATCAGCCTTCGAAGGCACTGGTACAAGCATGACTAAGCATGAGTAGGATGGGAGGAGGTTTCAAGAAAGACATCATTTTGGATCCTTTTGGCATCTTATGCATCCAAGACAGGTGAAAACAGGTGAAAACTGAACGCCGAATCGGACCTAAGGGTTCACGACAACTGTCGAGTGAAGACCAACATCCTGATGAAACTCTTGTGAAACGTCAGTTCTTGAAACAAGTGGTAACGTCAGTTCATCAGTTGAAACATGTTGAAACGGCAGGTGTTCGGTGTTCTGTTTGCCAGAACCGAACAGAACCCTCGACGTCACTGGTCGTCCTACCGTGTCCACTTTCGCTCGTTTGAGCTTGTGGACACATCCACCAACCCGGGTGGTCGGTGGGCCAGGTCATGAAGCTAAAACGTTTCCTCCTTAGATACTACCCGCCTGGCATCGTGGGGGCGCCCAGCGACGGCCGGTTTTGGGGTTCGCTGGTCGGTAGTTCTGGAGCGGGTCCCGGATCCCTGGCCGGTGTCGCGGTTTTCGCACCATTGGACATCGAGATCAGCTTGTGGAAAGGCTTTTTTGGAGACTTGGAGACTTCTAGATCCCCTCAGCATGTCGATCATTTTCCGGTGGGATCTTTCCATACAAACCTCTTTGGCAGATCAGGGAGCTATGAATTGTGCTAGCAACTACGCAATGGGCGACATGGTCCCAGGTCCAGCAAACAGGGGATTTCAGCCCATCCTCTTTCTACGAAAAGACACCAAAGTCAATAGCCAGTCAGTGGAAACCACGTGTTCATTTGGTCCGCCAAGTGGTTCCGACGCCACCGGGACCCTGTTTCGCTCGCTCTCCCGGGGGAACCCCGTGGACCCGTGTAGGGTCAACCGGCTCAGCACCGGTACGAAAGGACCGGTGGAACTGACCGGTTTCTTGGGCCAAGAGAAAGAACACAGACTCCGGAGGGCTTAGAACTCGTTGGTGTTCTTTTCACCCGAAAAGAGAACGGTCTGACCGTTTTGGGGGGGCTTTTCAACTCTAGGTGTGTGACACTGTGTCAAAAAGATGGATCCCCTAAGACCCTACGATGAGAGGAAGCAATATTGCTATGACTTGTAGAACTCTTTCATTCGTCTGTCAAACTTCGATACCTGTCAAAGGGGCTTCTTTTTTTTTCAGATCTCCAAGACTCCTTGCTGTGTGCCATGTCAATTGTGGCCTTGGATGTTGCAATAATCAGTGTGCTCAGGTTTTGGAGTACCAGCGCAGAAATGGAGACTTAGATACTCGGACAGAAATGAAGAGATCAGGCTCAGTGCGTCTCATTTTTTGTGTGCTAGATGGTGCGGGGCCCGGAAGTGTGTAGTTTCCCGTCTCTCCAAGTTTTGCCGATTTGCTTTCATCGGTTTGCTTCTGAGGGATCCAGATCCCAGCTGTTTCAGGTCAGTTGCTGGAGGGAATCCCTGCACTGTGGGGGGTTCGGGTGCCGGATGGTGCCGGCCAACGATTTGGGGTTTCTTGCCAGTAGGCTGAACTCATTCTACCTACTTGGTATGGCTTCTACACTCTTGTATCACGTAACAAATGATGATTACAACGCAATAAGTTTCTGGGCGTCGAACGCAACCAATACCACAATACATACTTGGTGTCCTCATGTTCCATGAAGCCTTCCTTCAGCTCTATGAACATCACATCAACATCACACACCATGTCCGCAAGACCAGTGCCCTTCTCTTTAGCAGCACAGTGTATCCTTCACGTGGATTCGCTGTTTCTCGAACCCCATCTGGATGGGGGGGCGCTCAGGTACCGTCAGGTCTCGCTCCCCGTCTCGCACTCCGGACGGACGACGGACTCGGACGAGGAGACCAAGTCCATTGACTTGCTCAATCTGACTCCGGAGACGGATGTGGAGGTGCAGGGGACATCCGTCGGAAAAACTGATTTTCTTCGCATCAAAGTGGGAGAATTGATGGAAGAGAAAGCCTCCCAAATGGAATGCCGACATAGAGTGACTTTCGGGGGAAATAGATCAGGTGGAAATAAACCCGGGGACACATGAGATGGTGGAGCTAGGGAGTTCGGAACTCCTCTTTTGACCTAGAGGTATGGTATGGAGGTCGATGTTGAATCCGATGAATCATTTGTCCTCAGCTCTTTCAATGGAGCCAGGGCCTGCTTTTCTTGGGACCAGTGATGCAAGGGAACACGTATGTGTCAGTCCATCATGCAGCCTCAGCCGGCCAGGTGCTCATTAACCAAATCGTGTTTGAAGAGCCCTTGATATCTGAGAACAAAAAGGACAGCGGACCAAACTGCATGTGGTTCTGGCGCATGAAGACTGAATTGTCGCTTCAGGTGCGCAAGTGTTGCTTCGGGAATGGTGAGTGGTGAGTGGTGAGCTTGGTCAATTTCTCTCTCGCAGGATACGCTACGGGGGATGATCTACAAGCTCATGGAGAAGATTGACAACAAGGTGCTGCTCGTGTTGATCTGCGCTGCTCCGGCGCACCTGGGTGGATGATGTCGCTGGGATCGGGCGGCGCCCCAAAGACCGAAAGGGATGGAGATGGATTGAAGACCAATGATTCATGAGTAACTTCTAGGGTGATGATGATGGATGGATGAAGACCCAACTTCTGCGGTGCATTTTTCCATATCGAAAACAAGAAAAGTGCATCGGATGCTCGAGCAGCTCGGCATTCAATTCAGAATTCTCCTTCACACCGATACGGTCAGGAGAGTTCCGCGGCAGTTTTCCGGTGGATCTCCTGGCGGGTTCGCAGGGTGAAATCGTGTCAAAGGCACACATGAATCTAAGGACTCATCAAGGGGCATTGGGCACCCATGTTTAGTTTTGACATGTTGTGAAAGGCACAAACACACATGCACACACACACACTCATGGATATGCGTACTGACTTGACAGCGGTGCCACGCGCC